TTCACAGAAATGAAATAATACAGATATGTTCTCTGACCACAATATAATTAGGTTAGAAACAATGACTTAAAAGATAACTAAAAAACAGTTTTTAAAAAATTAAAAGGTTATGCAGATATTATGTAGATATGTATGTAATTAAAATTTGTATTTTTATTTATTAATTTTATTGTATTTTTTTCCATTACCATTTAGTCCCCTTATAACAGCCTCCCGTCCTCAATCACCACACTGCTGCCTATGTCCTTGAGTCCCTTTTCCTTTATGCTCAATCCCTCCTCCCCTTACCCCTGCTTAGCTATTATCCTGTTCTCTATGAGTTTGTCTTTATATTGCTTGTTAGTTGTTTGTTCATTAGATTATACAGGTGAGTGAAATTGTATAGTATTTGTCTTTCTCTCACTAGCTTATTTCACTTAGCATAATGTACTCCAGGTCCATGCACACTATCACAAAGGGTAAAATTTCCTCCTTTTTTAATGACTGAGTAGTATTCCATTGTGTAAATGTTCCATAGTTGTTTTATCCACTTGTCCACTGATGGACACTTGGGCTGCTGAAATTTTATTTATGTTTACAGTAGAGAAGTTTAGAGTCTTTGCAATACTAAAATAGTACATCCTAAAACAATCTGAAGAAATTGATAAATTTCTAGAAAAATATTTGAGTGTATAACTTTCTAGAGAAACTTGGATGTGCTTCCTCTTAAATGCCACCCTCACAAATGGGAAACTGGCCCACAAACCAGGAATCTAACCACAGTAACCTTTAAGTTTGCGGGACAACACCCACCCCACTGAACCACACCAGTCAGGGTTTAGTGTGTAACTTTCGATCTGACAGAAATTCCATATGTTAACTAAGCATTATATTCTAGGATAAATTCCATCAAAAAGAAAAAGCATGTTCTCTAAGTTACTGAGAAAGGTAAGACTGTATTAATATGTGAATTTAACCTTTTCTCCTTGTCCGTTTTCTGCTGTTGTTTCTTCTGGTTTTCATTCATGTAATCTTGTCTCTGCATGTGCTTCAGTCAAGAAACTGAAGGGAAACAAGTGAGATCAGGTAAAACATGATCAGTTTGGGATAGAATCAACATCTTTTCAAATACTTTTCTCCCCCACTCTCTCAATTAAAAAAAATTAAAAAATACTAAAAAAAAAAAAAAAAACCCCAACAACAACAAAAAAACCCAAAACCAAACCCTAAGAGCCAAGTAAAAAATGGTAACAATTAAAAAGTATTTTTTTAATAATACCAAACATTTTCTCGGACCACAAGGGATTGAAACTGGAAATCACCTCAAAGAGAAACTTCAAAAACCTGCAAACTCATGGAGACTGAACAGTAGACTATTAAACAATGAATGGGTCAATAATGAGATAAGAGAAGAAATCAAAAAATTTCAGGAAACCAATGAAAATGAACAGACAACAGTGCAAAACCTATGGGACACAGCAAAGGCAGTCCTGAGAGGAAAGTTCATAGCCATACAGGCTTACCTAAAAAAGATAGAAATAAAGATAGAAAAAGATTTCAAATAAAAGGCCTACCACCACAACTTCAAGAACTGGAGAAACAACAACAAATAAATCCCAGAGCAAGGAGAAGGAAGGAAATAGTCAAGATTAGAGCAGAACTGAATGACATAGAGACGAAAAGAACAATTCAGAGGATCAACCAATCCAGAAGCTGCTTCTTTGAAAAGATAAATAAAATTGACAAGCCTTTAAGCAGACTCATCAAGAAAAAAAGGGAGAGGACCCAAATTAATAACATCAGAAATGAAAGAGGAGAAATAACAACTGATACCACAGAAATACAAAGGATCGTCAGAAACTACTATAACAATTATATGCCAAGAAATTGAAAATCTTGATGAAATGGACAAATTTTTAGAAAAGTATAATCTTCCAACACTGAAGGAGGAAGAAACAGAAAGCTTGAAGAGACCGAGAACAGCTGGGGAAATTGAAGCAGTCATCAAGAAACTCCCGGCACACAAAAGCCCAGGGCCGGATGGTTTCACAGGAGAATTTTACAAAACATTTAAGGAAGAGCTAACCCCTGTCCTTCTCAGACTATTCCAAAAAGTCCAAGAGGAGGGAAGACTCCCAGACTCTTTCTATGAGGCCAGCATCACCCTGATCCCAAAACCAGATAAAGACCCTACAAAGAAAGGAAACTACAGGCCAATTTCGCTGATGAACATAGATGCTAAAATCCTATACAAAATATTGGCAAACCACATCCAGCAATACATTAAAAAGATTATCCACCACGATCAAGTGGGATTCATCCCAGGGATGCAGGGATGGTTCAATATACGCAAGTCAATCAATGTAATACATCACATAAATAAAAGACAGGACAAAAACCACAGGATCATCTCGATAGACGCAGAGAAAGCATTCGATAAGGTACAGCACCCATTTATGATCAAAACACTCAGAAAAATGGGAATAAATGGGGCATTCCTCAATGTAATAAAGGCCATACATGAAAAACCTATAGCCAACCTCATACTCAACGGGCAAAAACTGAAAGCTTTCCCACTAAGATCAGGAACACGACAAGGATGTCCACTTTCACCACTTTTTTCAACATCGTATTGGAAATCCTAGCCACAGCAGTCAACAAGAGAAAGAAATAAAAGGCATCCAAACAGGAAAGGAGGAAGTAAAGCTATTACTGTTTGCAGATGACATGATAGTGAACATAGAGAACCCTGTAGACTCTACCAAAAAACTCCTCAACCTAATAAGTGAATTTGGCAAAACAGCAGGTTACAAAGTCAACATTCAGAAATCAAAGGCATTTTTGTACACCAGCAATGCAATAGAAGAAGAAGAAATCAGAAAAAAAATACCATTCGATATAGCAAGAAGAAAAATAAAGTACCTAGGCATAAATTTAACCAAAGAGGTAAAAGACCTGTACGCAGAAAACTATACAACATTGAAGAAAGAAATTAAGGAAGACACAAATACATGGAAGCATATACCGTGCTCATGGATTGGAAGAATTAATATCATCAAAATGGCCATACTACCCAAAGCTATTTATAGATTCAACACAATCCCTATTAAGATACCAATGACATATTTCACAGAAATAGAACAGACATTTCACAAATTTATATGGAACCATAAACGACCCTGAATAGCCGCAGCAATTTTGAGAAAGAAACACAAAGTAGGAGGGATCACAATACCGGACATCAAACTCTACTACAAAGCCACTATACTCAAAACAATCTGATACTGGCACAAGAACAGACCCGTAGACCAGTGGAACAGAATAGAAAGCCCAGAAATAAGCCCAGGTCTCTATGGACATCTAATATTTGACAAAGGGGACAGAAGCATAAAATGGAGCCATAATCGCCTCTTCAACAAATGGTGTTGGGAGAGCTGGACGGCTACATGCAAAAAATTGAAATTGGATCATCAGCTGACACCATACACAAAAATGAACTCAAGATGGATAAAAGACTTAAATAGAAGTCGCAACACCATCAAAGTCCTAGAGGAGAACATTGGCAGGAAACTCTCAGATATCCCATGCAGCAATTTTTTCACTGATATGTCTCCTAAAGCAAGGGACATAAAGGAAAGAATAAACAAGTGGGACCTCATCAAAATAAGAAGCTTCTGCACGGCAAAAGAAAACATCAGTGAAATGAAAAGAGAGCCAACCCCATGGGAAAATATATTCACTAATGATACATCAGATAGAGGTTGGATATATATATCTCCAACATATATAAAAAACTCACTTGACTTCACCCAAGACAACAAATGATCCATTCAAAAAATTAGCAAATAACCTGGGCAGACGCTTTTCCAAGGAGGAGATACGTAGGTCCCAGAGACATTTGAAAGGATGCTCGGCATCACTAGCCATCAGAGAAATGCAGGTCAAAACCACCATGAGGTACCACCTCACACCGGTCAGAATGGCCATCAGAAACAGATCAACAAACAACAGGTGCTGGTGAGGCTGTGGAGAAAAGGGAACCCTAGCACACTGTTGGTGGGAATGCAGACTGGTGCAGCCACTGTGGGAAGCAGTGTGGAATTTCCTGAAAAAGCTGAAAGTGGAGCTGCCTTTTGATCCAGTGATTCCCCTGCTGGGACTATACCCTAAGAATCCCGAAACGCCAATACAAAAGAACCTATGCACCCCAATGTTCATAGCAGCACAATTGACAATAGCCAAGTGTTGGAAGCAACCTAAATGCCCATCAGTAGATGATTGGATCAAAAAGCTATGGTACATATACACAATGGAATACTACGCAGCAGAAAGAAAGAAAGAACTACTACACTTCGTGACAGCATGGATGGAACTCGAGAGCATATGCTAAGCGAAATAAGCCAGGGGGCGAAAGACAAATACCATATGATCTCACCTATAAGTGAAACCTAACCAACAATACACAGATGCAAGGAAGATAAGACCAGCAACACTGAAAGGAAAATAAATCAACAGATACAAGAGGAAGGAGGGAAAGAGGGAAAGAAGGAGGGTGGGCGTGGAAAAGGAAAGGAAGGGGCAAGTGAAGGAACATATAGCAAGGACTCATGGACAAAACGAAAGGGGAAGAGCTGAGGGAGGGAAGGAGTGAGGGAGCAAGGGAAAGTGGTGGGGGGAAGGCAGAGACAAATGTATTTGAAAAAATAAATTTAAAAAAAGTATTTTTTTAATTGTTGTTCAAGTATAGTTGTCTCCATTTTCCCGTCACCAATTTCCCCTCCCCCCCCCCACCTGCCACCCTCAATCCTACCCCGCTTCGGTTTTGTCCATGGGTCCTTTATACATGTTCCTTAATGATCCTTCTCCTTCTTTCCCCTGTCATTTCCAACCCCCCTGGTGTTTTTTAATGAATGATATTTAAAATATCACATATAAAAATGAGTGGAATGCAGTTAAAGTGATACTTAGAGGGAAAATTATAGTCTTTCTTTTTCTTTCTTCTTTTTCAGCAAGCAGAGGTCTCAGCTTGGAAGGCAGATCAGAGCCAGACCCCACACTCCCCTCACTCACATCCCTTCGCAGGTAGGCTGTGGGATGCCAACCACACACCCTCCCTGGGCTGGCCAAGGAACACAGGCCTGGGACATCACCAAGTGTCAGCTACCTCTGAGCCCATGTGACCACGACTGGAGCCTGATGGGAGTGAGGCAGCTGGGAAATTATAGTCTTAATAAATATATTAGAAAATACGAAAGGTTGAAAGTAAATGAACTAAGCAGTTTTTTCTCTCTTTCTGGTTTTTAAGATGCATTTGGAGAGCTTGACTTTACAAACAGGCAAATGAAGGCATGCTATTTTTGCATCTTGCTTATATCAGGTTTAACATTTTTTGTGTGGCAAAATGTTATATACATCACCACAGAAGTCCTCATCTAATCTCACATGTCAACAGCATTTAATATGGTTGATCACTTGTTCATTCTTCTAATTCTTTCCTGTAATTCTTTCTTCACCTGGTTTCCAGGCAGCGGTGAGCAGGAGCCAGCTCATATCAGCTTGCAAGAGTTGATTGTGTGCCAACAACCTGTTCAGTGATATTACCTTGGTATCTTGAAATGGACCATGGAAATAGGAAAACAATAAAAAACAGTGTATGTTTTTTATCTTTCTGTCATCTACCTATCTATCTATCTATCTATCATCATCTCTCTACTCACCCACCCGCCAATCATTGATTATCTATCTATCCACCTACTTACCTTCAGTGAGCATGTTTACCAGTTCTAACGCACCACTGGAATACCACTCACTCCTCTTTCTGCTCACCTGCACTGGCCGCTCTTAATCAGTGTCCAGAGCTGGTTCTTCTCTGGAGTGCTAAGCTTTGGAGTGTCCCAGGACTCAGCCCTCAGATCTTGTCTCTTCCATCTACTCACTCTTTTGGTGATCTCACTCGGTCTTTTAACACTGATGACTTCCAAATGAATTATCTCCAATCCTAATTTCTCCCATGACTCCAGACTCATATGTCCCATTGCTGACTCTACCCTTTTGGACAGGTTATATCTGCAGTGCCCATTTAGATATCCAGGTGGATGTGGGGTAATGAACATCAGGAAGGAGGACTTGCTGTCACCTAGGATAGGAAATCTCAGGGAGAAGCATATTAGAAAGGGAGGAAAGAAAAGTGGCAGCCACCAAGAGGTGTTAAAATATGTCTAGGAAGAATCAAGGTTTAAGTACATTATTTAAAGTTGAGTGTGTGGGATGAGTACATCTGGGGGTATGGGAGAGAAGGTTTTAGGTGGTATGCCAATGGACAAGGATATTTGTTTGGAGGTGTTTTAGCATAAGATTAAAAATGATACTGACATAAAAGCTTTTTCTTAAAATGCTTTCATTTTAAAAAACAAGTGAATCTGAAGGATATATAGTAAATCAATGCTAATACAGGCATTAGACAAATAAAGAAATAATATGAAAGTGGTATGGGAATGACTGATGTTTGAGAATGCCATGATGCAGGAATCAAACATATTAAAACTAGAAGGAAGTGGGGTGGTGAAAGCTAACTAAAATCAATATCCATTCTCAACCCTCTGTTCCATTGGGACCCTCTGCTGTGGAGGCTGGAAAGTCAAATACTTCTGCAGACTCCATTTTATGTAGAAGTGACATGTGACTCAGTTTTGCCTATGATATATTAGCAGATATCTGTAGGAGGTGGCTTTGAGAAAGGCCTTTGGGGAAAGTCTTTTTTTTTTTTTCCCCTGATAAAAGGAGATGGATTTAGTGGTCCAACACTTTCTCTTTCCTCCTTCTCCTTTCCTTAAATGTGCAGCTAATGGTTGGAACTACAGCAGCCACCTGTGACAACGAGGAAAGAGAATCAATCACAGAGGTTTTAGCCAAGGCATCCTTCAGCCACTGAACAACGTTTTGGATTTTTCATTATGTGAGAAAAATAAATATTTGTTTAAGTAACTGAGAGGGGTGTGTGTGTGTGTGTGTGTGTGTGTGTGTGTGTGAGACTGAGCACAATCCTGTCTCCCAGTCTATCATAAACTTAGCTACCTTATAATGATCTTCTTAAAACATAAGCATGATTGTGACCCTCTTCTGTTTGAAATCCTTTCCTTGGGAGATACTATTTTCCTCTATCAGACTAGCAAAACGAAGAAGATTGAGCATGCTCCATGCATTTAAAGAGTGTAGGGAAACAATTCCTAGCATTCACAGTGGATGATGCTATACATTGGTACAACACTTTGGGAGGATAATGGGTAATAGCTCTTCAAGTTGAAGATGCTCATAACCTTCTTGCCAACAATTCATTCTAGAGTCAGCAGAGCACTTATCCCCTATACCCTGACCCTAGCCCAGAGATACAGCTCACACTGGTTGGCAAAGCTAGGCACAAGGAAGCTGTGGAGCCTGTCCTAGCTGAGGCCCACATTTTTGTGATGAACCGGTGGCCATGGGTTTCCATCCAGTTGCACAGGGTTGCAGATGGGCCCTGCCTGACAGTAATGAAGAACATAGAGGCTGTGCTTGCCTGCCACAACCCAGTGGCAGGAAACATTCCAAGAGCACCTGTTTCCTGAGGACCCTGTCAGGAGCTCCCAGGCACCATCTGGGCGCTGTCCCACATGTTGTTAGAATCAGGAATTTTAGAAAAACAATTCAACTTTGACTAATCACTTTTTAATTTTTTCAGGCGCATCCCAAAGTCTCACCTCTGCCCCACTCCCTCTTTCCTTCTAGCTTCTCTCAGGTGTTCTCTCGACTGACACACAAACATAAATAATGCACTCACACATACACACACTCACCTATACATGCAGTTACCTCACCCCTACCCCTACACACATTCACATATATACCAAACACATGCACACTCACACATGCACATACTTACACACTCACCACACACTCACATATATACACACTCATACACCATGCACTCACATTACACTACACACTTATACACACAAAGCATCCACACATACACTCACCTAAACACTCACCTGCACCCACACATTCATTCACATACACACACCACACACTCACACCCTCACATTCACATATACACACATAAACACACACTGTTACAAGTCACACACTTGCACACGCACATTCATGCACGTTGCTTCTTACATAGTTCTGAAGGACAACTTGTTTCTTGAGGTTGGCAGGGGAAGGGTCAGTTTAAGGCAGTAGTGTTCCTAAGAATATGGCCTGTGAAGCAGTGTTTATGAGCACAGACCCTAGAGCCAGGATTGAATCCCAGTTCTGCAATTTGTTTGCCTGCCATGCTTTAGTCTCCTCTTTTGCTAAAGAGTGAGAAGGCTGCTGCAGCCAGCATCTTCAAACAGGAGAAGTGCTTAGAACAATGCCTAGCATAGGTTAAGTGCCATGTGTGTTTCTTTTAAAAATTGCAACAAATAAACATCAAATTCAGTTCTGATATTAACATGATTTTCTGGACTGCATGATTCTGAGTCAGTTTCCTGAAGTTTAATGTTTCTCCTCTCATGGATGTCCTTGTTTTGCTGTGCCTATGTGGGAAACTGAGGCCTCCTGTAAAGCAGTGAAAGCTAAAGCACAGAGAGGTTAAGTCTCATTTTTGATGTCACACAGCCTGCTGGAGACTGGGGCAGGTCTGCAGAGTGTCCATTGTGAACTGTCCAGGCAATGCTCCCAGCACAGTGCGCATGCGGCAGTTTGCCTTGTAGAAGTTGGGCCATGGCAGTTGGAGATGGGGCTTTGTGGGGAAAAGCAGGACAAGAAGTCTCTGTTTTAGATGGTGGGCATGACCACAGGAAACTGAGGTGGCCTCAGTAAAAGCCACCAGCTAGAGTTAAACAGAGCCTATCTAGCTGGACCAGGCCCAATTTCCAGGTGGCTTGATGGCAGCAGCCCAGGAAGGGCTCTGGCACTGGCGAGGTGGAGGATACCAGGAGGAGGGCAGGCAGGCACTATGGCTGGCTGAGGCTTCCTCAAGCCTTGTTCTGGTCTGCTGCCAGGCATGATGGCCCTATCATGGCTGCCTTCTGAGAACAAAGCATCCTACAGGAATTCCGGCTGGATAATGTGATGCATTGTGGAGCCTGGCAAAGTGCCAGGCCAACTCACCCCACCATTGTTTACAATTTAAGGGCTTGAAGTCACCACCAGCACTTAAGATGGCAAAGACCCTCTTACTAGGCCCACCTCTGAAATTCCACAACTGCTTTGATGCTCACCTCACCTCTCCCCTTCCTGTCCTCAAAAGTGTTTGCCTCTGACTAGTGAGGGCAGCGAGAGGGGGTGCTTCCTGGCTGGGCCTGACTGCTGGGCTAAGCAGACTCCCAGGCTGCTACAGCAGTGAAGATTTCCTTCCTGAAAAACACACCAGCCTCTGCTTTCTGTCCCTCTGTGTTTCTCTTCAGGGAGAGCCTGGGCAGCCTCTGGTTCTTAGCCCCCAGCTATGGGCCCAGCCCCAGGGACACAGGGAAAGTCAGCAGTTACTTGTGGGCAGGTGACCTGTCCTTGGTGACATCAGGCTGGACCCTGGCTTTCACAGACGGGCAGGACAGCCACCAGTAAATTATAACAGAAAGAGTCAGTTCCTTTTTCTGGATCCCCCCACAGCCTGCCGAGGCTGATTCACAGTCCAGAGCCAGTTTCTTCAGCTCCTGTGCCTCAGTTTTCTTATCTGTGTATGAGAATCTTTTTTCCTCACTCCCTCATCTAATCTGTCCACAAATTCTGCCAGCTCTACCTTTACAAAGCATCCAGAATCTGGCCACTTGATCCCAGCCCACCCTGAGTCCTCAGACCCTGTCTAAGCTCCAGTAGTCCCAATACAACCTCTTCTCTCCATGGCAAGCAGCAGAATCCTATTCAAACCAGTTTCCTCTTTGCTCAAAACCTTCCCAAGGCTTCAATGTCATTCAAAAAGAAGTCCTCCCCTCCCCTCCCCTTCCTCTCTCCTTCCCTCTAATTTCACCACCTCTACCCTAGCCCAAATGACTCCCTCACTGCTCCTCACACCCACAGGCACACACCTGACCCATGGCCTTTGCAATGGCTGCTCCCTCTTCCCGAAAGGCACTTACTTCAGGTATGAGCAAAGATTTGTTTCTTTATGTACTTTGAAGTTCTCCTCAAAAGTTGTCTTCTCCATTTAAACTCTCCTCTCTCCTAACTCTCTGCTTCACTGTCTCCAGGTATTTTCCATTTTCATGGACTTTGCTT